GGTTTTGCTGGCCTCGCTGGGGTGGGGGGGGGGGGGGGGAGTACCTTGGGCTTTCGGAAGCGGGGAGAAGCCCAACGAGCAGCCCTGCTCAAAAAAAGGCAGCGTTGCGAGTTCTCAGGCGAGGTAGGTGGGTTGCCCCTATATTTAGGTAGGCGGGCGGGAAAGCAGCCTCTTCCGAGGGAGAGGGAAGGGGGGAGGTCCTTCTGTGTGAGCTGTCACGACAAGAAGCGAGCCGCCCCCCCCCACCCAGCAGAGAGGACGAGAATGGAGGGCTTTCTCCTCCCCCCACTCCCACCCCGGGCATGGAGCAGCCGAGTTGGGGGAAGCATCTGTTGCAGGGCCCGTTCCGCTCAGGACGCAAGAGAAGGGCGTGTAACTCCCGAGAGAAGACAACACGCGTGGGGCCAAGAGAGAATTCGCTTTAGACTGGAGGGAAGTTTTCAGCTGAAATCTTAACTCAGCCATGAAAAGGGATGTGTGGGTGGGTCTCAGCCTAAGCTGTTCCAGTTTACCTGCAGTGCCTCCTTCTAACTCAGCTGCTATTTGAAGGTAATGCTTCCCAGGCTCATAGAGCTATCTGTCATATGCTGACAGCAGAACTTGCAAATGTTGGCTGGAGGATTCTGGGAGTTGACTTGAAACAAAATATCCAAGCCGCTGGGTTCGATAATGTACATTAAGTGCTTTGGAGAATGTGATATTTATTATTATTTAAAGTCCTATATCAACTGGGCATCGGTATGGTCCTGTGTTTTGTCTTTCATTCAGGGCATGCTAAGGTTGACTGTAAAATATAGTTTTTGAAGATTTGTATTTCTTTTGTTTATGAAAAGTACTTACTCTGCTGAAATTGGGAGTGATCCATCCACTTTGAGCTAAATTGAAGTGCAAACTTTGGATTTGCTGTAGAAAGGATGAAAGTCATCACCTGTGAAATCGCATGGCACAATAAAGAACCAGTGTACAGTTTAGACTTCCAGCATGGAACTGACGGGAAGATCAACAGACTGGCCTCTGCTGGAGTGGACACGACTGTTCGTGTGAGTTCCTTTGCACTGTGGCCAAATGGGCTGTCCGAAGTTAATGGGTTTTACTGGTTATAGTGATGCCTATTGCATGTATTTTAGCTTTGCATGCAGCAGTCCCATGGAGGGAAGGGTTAAACCAGGTTGCTACTGGGGATTGTCTATTCTAGTTCCAGCAGTCTGTGGGAAATAAGGCTTTTCCCCACTACTTGGTCTTCTTCTCTCTCTCTTCCCCTATTTTCATAAGATGTCTCCCAGAAAGACAGCAAGTTGAAGTTGAATCAACAGGCATTTTTGTGTCCTTAAGCTCTTTATGAATAATAAACACACCAAAAAATGTGCTTACTAAGTATGGTTTAAAGAGCTTTTTCTCTTTGCTCCAACTGCAGTAGCACCTTGGTTTACAAATTTAATGCCTTCTCTGGGATGTTACATAATGTGAAAAATTCGTAAACCGAATGCAGTTTGCCATAGGAACAGGGGCGGCACTATAAACCTCCAGGCACAATGCATCTTGTGGAAACTTCCTTTGTACTGCGGGAATAAATCATAAACCGAGGCATTATTTTCAATGGGTTTCCGTTAGTAAACCAAAAATTATGTTAACTGAGCCATTTGTAAACTGAGGTACTACTGTACACTCATATTGGTTTTAGCCAGCTAAATAGCTGCTATGTATGACTGCTTCCAAATACAGTGGTGCCTCAATTTACGACCATCCCAACGTACAACCATTTTGAGTTGCAACCTGGCAGGACAAAGTTCCAAACAGAGCAGTCCTAGAACGAGCTGGAATTTTCAGCATGAACACATTACTGAAACAGCGACGTCTACGTTGGCTCGGGCACGTCGTGAGAATGGCTGATGGTCAAATTGCAAAGGATGTCCTCTATGGAGAATTAGTGCAGGGAAAGCACCCCAGAGGGAGACCACAACTGCGATACAAGGACATCTGCAAGCGAGATCTGAAGGCCTTAGGAATAGACCTCAACAGATGGGAAAACCTGACATCTGAGCGTTCAGCCTGGAGGCAGGTGGTGCATCACGGCGTCTCCCAATTTGAAGAGACCCTTGCCCAGCAGGCCGAGGCAAAGAGGAAGTCACCAGGGAGCCGGACAGGGGACAGACTGGATTTGTCTTCAGTGTGGAAGGGACTGTCACTCTCGAATTGGCCTCCTCAGCCACACTAGGCGCTGTTCCAAGCCCTCCATACAGAGCACGCTACCATAGTCTTTCGAGACTGAAGGATGCCTAACAATTATTATTATTATTATTATTTCAGACCCATCATGTTCCAATGCGGCTGGCTGTGTGTGGTTGTTGGTGTTTTTATTTTATTTCAGCCCCATTGCGTTCCGATGGGGCTGGCTGTGTGTGGTGTGTTTTGTGATTATTTTCAGCCCCATCGCATTGCTCTGTTTGTTGTTATGTTTTTTTGATGGTGTGTTTTGTGATTATTTTTCAGCCCCATCACATTGCTCTGTTTGTTGTTATGTTTTTTTGATTATTTTTTTCGGCCATAAGAGATTAATGGGGTTTCAGTGTATTCCTATGGGGAATCGTGTTTTGACTTACTACCATTTTGAGTTACGCCCCATCTTCTGGAATGGATTATGGTCGTAAGTCGAGGCACCATTGTATCTCTTCTAGTTTTAACAAAAACCCTTCTATTCAAAATAGTCACAAACACAGTTAAGGTATATAAATCAGGAAGACCATTTGCATGCAACTTCACAAGGTCTGGGGATGCGCTTGTGCATCTCCTATGACTCTTTCTTGTTTTGCGTCTCTCTAGATATGGAAGGTAGAAAAGGGGCCAGATGGGAAAGCAATTGTGGAGTTCTTGTCCAATTTAGCTCGTCATACCAAAGCTGTGAATGTTGTGCGTTTTGCCCCTACTGGTGAGATTCTAGCATCTGGGGGAGATGGTGAGTATGTATCAAATGAGCACTGGTTTGAAATGGTTCAGTGCTAATTTGATTCTGAAGGTGTTTTGTATTGATACATTCATAAAGAAATCGGTGTTATAACACTTGATAAAAGTGTCAAAACTCGAATCTGGTATCAAAAACCTAAGGGATGCCATTTACAATAGAAGTAACAATATTTATTACTTTCATTAGAAACTAAGAATTTTTTTTAACAGGTTATACATATTAGGCAAAATACATTGTTGTCCTCTTGGAGTAGACCCTTGAAAGCAACTGAATTTGTTAGTTGCATCTCACTTAAGGCTCATGATTTCCATGGGTCTAATTTAAATAACATGAATTTGGGGTTTAGCCCAGTTTCTGTTAGTGTGCCCAGTTATGAAATTATGAAGTCAGAAATAGGTGTTATCGTAATATATATTGTTAACATTGATAACTTCAAAACTTCTTACTGAACATTTTCATGTGCTTTTATTCCCAGCCACTTGTTCAGAAGAGCTTAGTAAGATTACCAGTCTTTGACTTGAACTCTTTGAATTCATATTTTTAATGGTATATGATCACCATGGTCAAATGAGGCAAGGAGGAAGTATTATTGGGCAAAATACTGTTGTTGTAACTTTGTGCAGCATGACCTGGATCAGACTGACCTGGATCAGACTATGGAAGTATTTAATTTAAAGCAGTGGTTCTTAACGTGGGCGCAATTATAGGCTTCTTAACCACCACCCCCAAAGTTCCTTTTATGTTTTGAGGCTTCCTAAGGCTCTCTCTTGCCCTGGAGAAGCCTTTGGGAGCCATGGAATGGGTGTGTGGGAGCCTTTTAATAGAAAGAACAAGAAATCACTGCTAGATTGCTACCAGTGAGATCCGGACTGCTGCTGGCAGTTTTTTACTATTGAATGCTCTCCCCCGATCCTGGTGCATAAAAGAGCCCTACAAAGCCTCACAATCTAAAAGAAGGGGGGTATAGAAAGCTTAGGTTGTTAAAGTTCTATATTGTGCATCCCAATCCTATGTATATCTATTTATAATTAAGCATTCTTGAGTTCAGTGGGGCTTACTCCCAGGTAAGTGTATATAACTGCCACCTAATTCAGGTTGTTACTGTGACTTTTGCATTATTTCTGCCAAAAAGTAAAATAATGGATAGAATACTTGTTGCAAAAAAAGTTGTTCAGTAGAATTAATTTTTTACAGATGCTGCAATTTTATTGTGGAAGCTGAATGATAACAAAGAGTTGGAGCCAATTGCATTTCAAGATGAAGACGATAATCAGATGAATAAAGAACACTGGACAGTGATTAAAACCTTAAGGTACCATCACATCTCAAGAATTTTAAAGCTGCAGACTTCTGCTTGTGGAAATAGCAATAGACTTTAAGGCTTTCTTGATTCCAGCAATCATAACAATTCAACAACTCCACATTCTAGATCCAGAACAATGTTTTTCTCTACATCAGTTTGACCTGTTTTTTTTGTATCTAGAGGTTAGTTCTCTGACTCCCAGCATGTCTGTGCTGCAGATTCAGGGCAAATGAGAAGTAGCTACATGTTCTTTATAGCTTCTTTGGTGCCACAAGGCCTTTTGTAGTACAGTTCTGGATTACTCCAATGTGGGCAACCACTGCCCTCTAGATCTTCTTGAAGTGTAAGTTCTTGGCAGTCACAGCCAGCATAGCCAGTTGTGAGAGATACTTGGAGTTCTAAGTCGACCAACATCTGGAGGCCCACAGTTGACCATCTTTGCTCTAATCATGCAGTGGTTCCCAACCTTGGGTAACCCACTTGTTTTTGGACTGCAACTTTCAGAAGCCTTCACTAGTAGCTATGCTGGTTGGGATTTCTGGGAGTTGCAGTCCAAGAACAAGTGGGTTACCCAAGGTTGGGAACCATTGCTCTAACTGGTGAAATGAGGCAGTGTTCTGGAACAATTCTGTCAGAGTGATTTGGGACTGGAGGGAAAGGCCTTTAATTGGTCAGTTCCTTTACTGTCCTGACCATTGTCTGGCTTAGATAGCTCAATAGTTTTAATAATAAAAAGCATTCATCTCACTGGCAGCATTTTCAGACTATTATATCAAACAATGTCTTCCTGTTAATTCAATTTTTTTCGACTTTTCTTGTTTCTAGAGGTCACTTAGAAGATGTATATGATATTTGCTGGACTTCTGATGGAAACTACATGGCCTCTGCATCAGTGGACAACACAGCCATAATGTGGGATGTCAGTAAAGGTAAGGGCTAATTAGAATAGGAAGAACTAGTTGTTAATTAGGAAGAATGGAGGAGGTCTCCTTGAAGGTTGGCTGTTAGGAGAAACACTGGATAAATAGAAGCAGTGGTGGTGGAAAAACTGTATGGACTGTATTCTGCAGATGAATTGTAGATATGTATTCCCTAACAATGAAGTTAATCACACTTTTGGAATCAAGTTGCTTGTGTTGAGTGATATAGGTGCAGTTTAAGCAAGAATGTATGAGTGTAGTGGGGGGATTATTTGGCTCTGGATGCTTGGATGGAAATCTTTCTTTGTGGCAGGAACAACATGTTTGCAGAGCTGCAAACTGGAATAAAACTGCTCAAAACACACATTTTGTTATAATGCGGCGAAAATGGAACTGCTTGCTGCCCACTAACCCAGCAAGAGCAATTCTGGCTAGTCAGCACTGAGTTAGCTGGGAAGCTTCCCAGCACTGGCTATTTTAAAGCAAAGTAGAGCTTATGTCATGAGAAACCACAAAAATAGTAAAAATAATAATTAGAAGAGCTGTGCAGATTTGTATACCAACTATAATTAACTCAGATCTGCACTACTGTAAAAGTCAGATGGATTCTTTATATTTAATAAATTAGCTAACTTTCCTAAGATTGTGGAAATTTACAATTTATGGTAAGCAAAAACAAAACAAAATGCCCTAACTTTTGCAAAATCTTACACTTAGCTTTAAAACATTTTCTCTAAAATATTAGTTTTCTTACTATTGTAACACTCATTAGGAATTGTTCTAGCCAAGTCACTTTGTCTCATTGCATTTTTGCAAATTGAACAGGAAAATCATCTGCCTACTGAAGGTTTGTGAAGAAGAGGGAGAACAAGGAGCATTGGTTAAATTAAAGCTGCCATAGAAATCAATTTGTTTTGTTGTGTTGCAAAGTAATCAATTGTTATTACTTCTAGGGCAAAAGGTTTCGATTTTTAATGAACACAAAAGTTACGTGCAAGGAATAACATGGGACCCAATAGGACAGTATATAGCAACACTTAGTTGTGACAGGTAAGTTATTACTATTTTCAGTGCAAGACATTTCATTGAAATACTTCATTTTTATGTTTTCTGTACATATCTAATAATGTAAATGCTTAATAATTTAAATAATGTCCTTCAAAAATGGAAGGCATGTAGTCACTTTATGCTGCAGTCATATACAATACTACAGTGGTGCCTCACATTACGATGTTAATTCGTTCCAGCGAAATCGCTGTAGAATGAAAACATTGTAAAGCGAAATTAAAAAGCCCATAGAAACGCATTAAAACCTGTTTAATGTGTTCCTGTGGGCTTGAAACTAACCGTCCAGCGAAGATCCTCCATAGTGTGGCCATTTTTGCTGCCCATGCAGCGAGGAATCCGTCCCAGAAAACAGCGGGGGGCCATTTTGTTTACCAGGCGGCGGCCATTTTGAAACCGCTGATCAGCTGGCCGAAAAGCGTCATTTTGCGAGAAAGATCATTGTAATGTGGTTTCGTCGTTAAATGTGGCGCCCATCTTGCGAGGCACCACTGTACTCAGAAATAGACCCGACAGGGTTCAGTGGGTCCAGGTGTAGGATTTTAGCCTTAAATGCCCATTTCTCTTAAGTGCTGCCATGGGGGTCATCCTACTCCCAGACAAAGCTGCTATGATTAATTCCACTCAGATAAAAGCTATAGTGCTTCTTGTTAGCCTGTAGCTTTTCTGAAATTCATTAGCAAATAATGTTTCAAATATTCCTATCAAAAGATTTCCATGTAGAATAATATATTCACTCTTGCTAACCTTATTTTTAATATAGGGTATTGAGAATATATAACACACAGACCAAGCGAGTGGCATTTAATGTTACCAAAATGCAGTCAGGTGGAGGATCTGAAGGAGAGGTAAGAAATGTTTCTTTGTTATACCAAAATGATATTTCTGGTGGTAAAAAAGTCTTTGAAAATTGGTTAATTCTCTCTGACCCCAGCTGTCAATCTGCACGTGCTGTTATCACTGGAAATAAAAGCTGGAAAGAGAGGGGCAGGGGGATCTCTGGCCATCCAGGTGTTTTGGACTGCAGTTCTAACATTTCCTTATTGGATAGTCTTATCTAATTAGTTTGTTTATTTTCCACAGCAAACAGGGGTCAGAGCATCTCCCAGCAGACATAGCTTGTCAAAACTTATTACACTTGATGGGGGGGGGGGAAAGGAAAGACATTTTTACAAAACAGCAGGAACTTGATAGTACAACAAGTGCAGAATAAGAGGATCATTACAATGAAGTCGTTAAGGTTTAACGCAAAGAAAAAAAAACTAAAATAAAAGAACAAAAAAGTAGCAAGACTGATACTGCCAGTACTAGTCTTGGAGCTCACTGAGAAGCCCCATTTAAATACATTTCAGAGGGGTGAGTCTTCTCTCCAAGTTATTTAGGTCTCTCCATCTTTTGGGGCAGCTAAAGGGAAATGGGGAATGGATGTAGTGATAAATGCTCTTCCATTTGTTCCAGCTTATGTGCCAGTCATATTAAACCTAAAAAAAGTATAGTGCAAGTGTGTGCCAAGGACCACCTCTGGTATTGTCTAGGGACCCAGGAACACAGTATGTACTGTATATACACACAGGTATACACTCTCCTTATCCATATGTGTATGTGTACTCTTTAATCTCCACATGTACCGAGTATTACAAAGGGACAGACAGGTTTAAACAGGTTGTGCCTACTGCAAGGATGTGCATCACTGGAAGAGAGAGATTACTGTAGAGAATGCTTTCATCTTTTGAACTAAAAGCACTTACATGCAGGTAGCTGTACAGCAGCGGCTCATAAGGGGATAATTTTTATTGTTGTCAAATTATCCAGGTGAAAAGCTATAGAATGTTCCATGATGACAGTATGAAGTCCTTCTTCCGAAGACTGAGTTTTACTCCTGATGGCTCTTTGCTTCTTGCTCCTGGTATATCTGGATATTTTTGTTCCTTCATATGGATCTGCAGCTACTCATGTATAGTTCAGTATTTATTGGGAAGCACAGTTCTACTTTCCCCTATCCCCTATATTTGCACTGCTTTATACATATGAAAAGTTTTAAAACAATTTGCAACCCAACAATAAATTTCTGCCTGAAAACACTACGAACTGAGTATTTTAAGATGGTATTCACGTATGTAAATTAAATCCCTTTTTAAACGAATTTTGATTTCTGGAGCTGTATGTTGGTTTAAGATTGTGATTCTTTCTTGGTAGTTCTAATAATTTATTCAGGCCCCTTAGATTCTAACCACTTTCATTATAAAGGAGTTTATACTTTATAACTAGTGTTTATACTTACACTTTTATCATTATATTAATATTGATTAGTTATACTGGTGTTTGCTATACTTCTAAATTAAATAGTTTGTTACATGAAAGAAAAGAGAATAATTTGAAGTTTTTATTGAATGTTTTCCAGTTAGTCAATGGACCTATTTATTTATTCTTTTGAAAAATTAATATTTTTCCACCTCTTTAACTTTTGCAGCAGGTTGTGTGGAATCAGGAGAAAATGTAACAAACACTACATATGTTTTTTCGAGAACAAATCTAAAAAGGTATAGTCTTACTATATCCATATTTTCTCATATTTTGAAGCACATTGCAAACACTTTACCTAAATGATTACTCTTTCTTATTAGGCCTATAGCTCATCTACCTTGTCCTGGGAAGGCAACCCTAGCTGTTCGTTGCTGCCCAGTATACTTTGAGTTAAGACCTACAGTTAACAAAGGTATTGTGAATCTTTTGGAGAGTATACTGTAATCCAGGTGTTGTCAAAGTATAGTAAGCCTATTGATCTGTTCCATATTTTAAATTTTAATGGCTTGTACTACAGTAGTGCTATCCTACAAATTTGATTCAGGTGGTCATTACACAGGCATTTAGCCCACTGTTTGGTCTGCTGCAGGGACAAGCTGGTTCACTTCTAAAGATGCCAATCAGATGACACCTTTGCTACAGTGAAACAGCCTACCCCCAATCCTACTTGTTTTGGTATAAGTAGGATTGCTCTGTTTTGATTCATTTCCAGCATGTGCAGTAGCTGGAAATGAACAAAAATGAGCTTTACTGTTTGAATTGTCAATATTGTGAAGTGACTTAAGAAGAGAGCCAGTTCAGAATATTGGTAAATTAAACACTTCCTTAGCATTGTGGAGGGGCTGAGGATGTTTTAAAAAGTGTATTATGGCAGTGCATATTCACTATGTCACTTTAAAAAAATAAAAGCCAAATAGAAAAGCATTGTAGAGGGGCTGAGGATGTAAAAAAAAAAGTGTATTATGGCAGTGCATATTCACTATGTCACTTTAAAAAAATAAAAGCCAAATAGAAACTTCCTTCTGGAAGTGAGAGGAGACAGGATCAGAGAATGAGAGGGGTTTTGTTTGCTTTTCTCCTCTGGGCCCTTGTTGTCCCCTCCTGTCTCCTCTTGCTTCCAGGAAGAACTTTCCTATTTGGCTTTTATTTTTTAAACATGATGCAGCAAGTATGGGCTGCCCTAATATATTTGAAAAAAAGCAAATCCACTTCCTTGGCTCTTCCACAGAGCCAAGGAAGAGTATAATTTGCCAATATCCTGAAGTGGCTCTCTTCTTAAGCTGCTTCAGAATATTGGCAAATTGACGGGGCTGGTGTGGACACATGTTGTTGAATATAGTGTTGTTTAACAAATTAGGCCATCGTTTAAACTAAAATCATTTAGAGTCTCCTCCATACGTTTATTACTTTGTATGTATTATCTGAAGTACTCATCTCCTGCTCTGTAGTAACCTACCTATGAAAAAATACAGCTAAGGTAAAGACATCTTTAAAAAATACAGCAGTCATAGAAATTTAAGATGGTGATGAAGATTTGTACAAATTACAGCAATCTGGAAAAACTTTGAAACAAATGTGTAAAAATTCTTTCTAATAGATACCAGTTTCCTTGGGTTTAATAGGGAGGGAAGGAGGGATCTTTTTAATGTTTTTTGGAATCACAATAATGTATTCTGTTTTTTGGAAGTTAATCTTCAGAATGAAAACATAGTCTTGTGGTACCTTAAAGACTAACAAGTTGATTCTACCCATGGATTGTAGTCCACGATAGCACAATTAGTGTCTTCTGTGCTGTAAGCATGCCTAAGTTTTGTTTGAATCCTTAGAAAAAGGGTTAAAAGCAAGTACTTAAACATTATTTTGGAACTATTTCTTATATTTATATCACTTTTCTTAAAGGAAAGGAGCTTTATCTGGCTTATGTGATTGTCCTCCTCATTTTTATCCTCACAACAATCCTATAAGGCTAGGTTAGGCTGAGAGACAGTGATGAGCCAAATGTGGGGAAAAGCTGATAGTCTAAATGAGAAATGGCTTTTAATCTGATAATTCTCTATTGTTTTAGAAGAAGCTACCCAGAAGACTGGCCTAATAAATCTTCCCTATCGGTTGGTTTTTGCTGTTGCTTCAGAAGATTCTGTGCTCTTCTATGATACACAACAATCTTTTCCATTTGGTTATGTCTCTAACATACATTACCATACGTTGAGTGACATTTCGTGGTAAGTTCTTAGCTGTTCTTGTGAATACTTTTCACAACAGGCTGGGTTTTATTCATTATACTGACAAGACTATGCAGCAAACATCCTGCTATTGCTCTTTTAATTCTCTTAGCATAGATTCTCAATGCCTGAGGTACCGTATTTTTCTGTGTATAAGACATCCCCATGTATAAGACACCCCCACTTTTCTAACCCAAAATTCAAGAAATCTAAGTGGAGCTTAGCAAGTGGAGGGGAAAGCAGGGATCAAAGCCCTGCAGGATTGCTTTGATCCCTGCTTTCCTCTCCACTCATTTTTGTTCTCGCCTCATCTTACTTCCATATATAAAACGACCCTCAATTTTTGGTCTAAAGATTTCAAACAAAAGCATAGTCTTGTACACGGAAAAATACGGTATCTCCTAAATCTTCTCCTCCCAGAGAAGCAAAAACAAAGGTGTCTAACACCAAGTCTGTCAGAAAATTGAATTATTATTATTATTATAAACAAGACAATATATATTCTATAAAACAAAAATATTCTCATTGTACACTGAACTTTCATCTACAGAGTAAGCAATGCAGTGAGGCATGGATTTATGCATCTATGGTGAACTTGTTTTCAGATATTACTATAGCTGTTTTACATAATTTTAAGCATTAAAATTCTTTTTAGCAGTGTTCTATAAATTGTCCTGTGTTCTTCAATTGTGTGATGCAACTGTCTTCATCAATAAGAAATGTCTTCTGTTGTTTGGATTTGGGAAACTTCTGCCTCTATTCACTTAGCAATATTCTTTACACCGTGTTTAAGAATAAAAATGTCATGATGATAAGGTCTTAGATTGTTTTATTGCAATTACAAAAATTACCATAGGTAAGATCAGGGGACTTTGGCTCATACTCTTTAAATCAAAAAGTTGGATGGGTTTCCAGCATGTTCAAAAAAATCTGCTGAAAGTAGTGGTAGTCCTATGTGGAAGATGGAACTGTAACGATAAACTTTTTTTCCCTATTTCTGTAAATAAACACCAGGTCTAGCGATGGATCCTTCCTCGCTATTTCTTCTACAGATGGATATTGTTCTTTTGTGACTTTTGAAGATGAAGAACTTGGAATCCCTCTGAAAGAGAAGCCAGCTCTTATTGTGAAGACCCCCAGCACAGCAGAAAAAAAACTGAAAAGGGGCCAGTCTCCTAGTATTGTCTCCCCAGTCCCTAAACCATTGGATAGCACTCCTCCAAATAGGACTGTAGATCCAGGCAGCCCAACTGTGCAATGTAAGACTACAGTAAGCAGTAAAGACTCGCCTTCCACACCTGTTGCCATTAGAAACATCCCAGCGTCTTCTTCAGAAGAGAGGAAGTCTATGCAGCCATCAAGCCACAATTCAAAAGCAAACCAACCCAGAAGGATTACACTTAATACCTTACAAGCATGGAGTAAGACACCAAGGTAAGCTTCATGTTAACAGTTTGTAGCTGGAAAGAAATACAGTGGTGCCCCGCTTAACAACGATAATGCGTTCCAGCAAAATCACTGCTGTAAAAAAAAAAAAAAAAAAAAAAAAAAAAAAAAAAACCACCAAAAAATAAAACCATTGAAATGCATTGAAATGCGGGACACCACTGTAGCTTCAAAGGCCAGCTTCAAAATGGCATTTGACAGGAATCGACCTTTGTGTAGTGCCAGAAGCCTCCTTTCTAGATTTCTGAAGAGACCTCTGCTCAGGATCTCGTGAGAATGGCAGCCCCTAATCCAGCCTCCAGGCCATTAAGAATTGGTGGAAACAGAGGAGGAGACTTGGCACTGAGCAAAGTGGGGAGGGAAGAAAAGGTCTACATGTTTGTGGAAATAGGTGATTTCCAAAGTTTTCCTGATTTTTCCTTTGTTTCTTGTTTAGGAGAGTGGCTTTGATTCCTCTAAAGGCAGATAGTCTGGACTCACCATCTTCGTATCTAGCCTCTACAGCTTCCTCCACAGAAACAATTCAGCATGGTAAAATATCTTACTCTTGATAGCTTGTTGTTATGTGCCAAGTCAGAACTGATTTATAGTGACCCTGACAGGGCTTTCAAGGTAAGTGAGATATTTAAGGAGTGGCTTTTATCAGTTCCATACCCCCAGTGAGTTCCCATGGTTGGGCAGGGATTCAAACCCGGACCTCCTGAGTCCTAGTCTGACGGTCTATCTATTACACCACACTGGGTATGTCTTGATAGCTCACTGAGTGTCAGATGATTAGTGGTAACTGTCTCTGTTTTTCTTCTTCTTTATAGCTCATGTTTGCAGTCTATGTGCACACAGCATTAAAATGAGAGATTTATAGGTTTCTGTTTTTGGACTACATGACCTAGAAGTCTCCAGACAGCTGTTCTTACAAATTTTATGAGAGAATTGTCAAACTCCTGTTATGCAGTTCCACAGGCACAGTGGTGATGTAATCAGTGGCAGCAAGTTGCTGCTGTTAGCTCCTTTTGGGTTTTTTTGTTTGTTTGTTTGTTTTGGTGCACATATTACATTTAAATCTTACCTTTAAACCATGGCAGTTTGCTTTTAATGAGCAGCAATTTGCTGCCAGTGGTGGCATCATCACTTTTGCACAGAGCTGTGCACCGGGATTTCAGCCAGTATATTGCATTACTGTGAGATAATATATTTGTCCTTGTCATCCCAGTATTTGAAAAGCTTGCAGCAATTTAAACAATTTATTTATTTTCCCAAATATTTCAGAGAGACCCTCACCACCTGAGGACCGCTTGCAGAATCCACCATCTCCAAAGCGTGTTAGAATGGATGATGATACTGTCTTTGGATTACACGAAAAGGAAGAAGTGATGGAATGAATGGATGCATTACCCTGCAACACGCCCAGAGTTAATATTCTTGCAAAAACAGCACCTAAAATAGACATTTCTGCTCAAAATTATATCTGCATAAAACATTCTGCTATATGGCAAGGGAGTAACTATATCATCCTTTGTCCTAACATTCTAGGTAGAATATTAGTTATCTGATCAACCACTGAAAGATGCAGTTTGCATAGGTATGAGCTGTGACGTTTCTATGTTTATTTAGAGTGACAGTGTTGTTGAAGATGCAGTGTATAGAATAAAAACATTCAACATACAATATTAGCCTGTTCCTCTGATACTTAGTTTCATTTATTCATTTTAAAAATGTATAAAATTATGTCTCATATCTAAAATATTTGCAATTTGGAATGATACTAACATAGAAGGAAATAACAGAGAAGAACACATTCATTAGCACCACAGTATCTGTTTCATGAAAAATTTTGTGGCAGAGAAAATGTAATTCACCTGAATTGAAATCTGAAATAGATGACCAAGTTAACATTAAAAAGTTAAGATTGAGTTTCTTTAATGTGTTTTGCTGCAGTCAGCTGTGTTTCAGCTAGAAGATACTACTATTACAGTTGTTGGATATGCAGTCAATTCTGTGCCGGATCATGGAGAAATAAACACATCAAGCTCAAAGTATCTTACTTCAGCGTAGATATGTATGCACATGCAGCCTGCTTAATGTGAAAACTTAGTATCATGTAAAGCAATGGTCCCCAAGCTTTTTAACACTGCAGACAGGTTGGGGAAGGCAGGGCACCCCCCTGTATGTCTGCCTGAAGGAGTGGGAGGCACTCACGTGGTCGCTCGTACATGTGTGAAGGGCGGGGGCACTCGTGTGCATGTGTGAAGGGGTGGGGGTGCTCGCAGGACACCCCCCCTGTGTGCCTGCCTGAAGGAGTGGAAGGCACTCACGTGGTCACTCGTACATGTGTGAAGGGCAGGGGGCACTCGCGTGCATGTGTGAAGGGGTGGGGGTGCTCGCGTGCATACATGAAGGGGCTGTGGGGGGGAGTGCATGTGGGGTGGTTGGGAGATCTGTCTCTGCAGCTCAGTCAGGCCCAGGCCACGGACTGGCACTGGGCCACAGACTGGGGGTGGGGACCCCTAATGTAAACAACATACAGTTGAAACTATGTGCCAGTCTTCTTACATGGCAAGACTTACAAATATATTTCAATTCCACCTCAATCTCTAGAGTCATAAAGTAAAAGCTACTGGCTTGGCAGCCATGACCGGACATGCAACAGTGATTTTCAGATATTTTAGATTCCCCCTACAATCCTCATCATCCACATTTAATATTAAACAATCAGATAAGAACAATAAGAACAAAAGAGCTATGACACCTGAAGGACTAATAGATTCATTTCTAAAGTATGAGCTTTTGTAAATTATAATCCACTTTCTCAGGTATGTGAAGGCACTGACCTTGTTGAAACCAGGAGTAAGGGAGAATTGCCACATCTCATGGCCTTCCATATTGTGTTGACAGATATGTTCCACTAATGGAAGGAACAATTGCATATACAGTAGTACTCTCAAAGGCTTTCACAGCTCGGATCTGATGGTTGTTGTAGGTTTTTCAGGCTGTTTGAACGTGTTCTGGAGTTTTTTCTTCCTAACGTTCCACCAGTCTCTGTGGACGGCATCTTTAGAGGACAAGAGTTAGAATTCGGTCTGTGTTCTGGTGTAGTGAGTGGGATAGTTGAATATTTGTAGCTGTGGGATCAGATTTTTGTCCTTTTCAGGAGATTGGGTGATTATGGTGATCAGGGTGTTTTTTTTTTGTTATGGGTGTATTGCTGTGATAAGGGGGGGAAGATGATCTGTCACTTTTATTGATGGGTGTTATCAGCTAGTCTATTGTGTGCAGTGGTCACCAGTCCTTGTGGCTGGGTAGAGTTTGTTGACCTTTTTGCAGGCTGTATTTTTCAGTGCTGCAAAAAAGAGTTTTAGACTTTCTTTTTTGTTGAAGCTGTGCTGATGTTTGTGGATTTCAATGGCTTCCCTATGTAGTCGAACCTGTTCAGCTACTGGCGATTTTTCCGGTTGTTTTAATCTACAGTGTCTTTCATGTTTTTTGATTGTGGTGTGGGATGCTGTGTTCTGTGGTCCCAATATATACATGTACTGTATACATGCCTGAAACAAGCTGGACATGAAAACCTATTTCAAAATACAGATGTACTGGACAACAACAGCAATCATTATGTTAGACTACATATCACTCAATCTCCTGAAAAGGACAAAAGGCTGTTCCCATAGCTACAAATAATCAACTATCCCACACACTACACCAGAACACAGACAGAGCTCCAACACCTTTGAAGATGCTAGCCACAGAGACAGGCGAAATGTTCGGAAGAAAAACCTCCAGAACATGGCCAAACAGCCTGAAAAACTTACAACAACCGCCAATTGCATATAGATGTAGCAAAGTGAATAGTAATTGTTTGCAAGTCAAGATGTTCGTAAGTTGAGGCACCATTGTACTGACTTAAACGTATTAATGTGCAAAAGAGAGTCCTTGGCAACCTTGGAACCTGAAAGAAGGGTGATAGGAAGTTTCTAATTACTTTAAATTAAATGCTTCCTGTGTTGAATCCAGATTATGCTGTGCAAAGTTACAACAACAGGATTTTGCCCACTGAAATGACTTGGACTATCACAAGTAACTTTCTAGAAATTATTTGCCCCAGTTTTTTACTTGTGCAGTCAAGTCTTAAAGTATAAAAGTGGTGAGGAGTTCCACAATCAAGTAAAAACCATCTGCCTCCATGACGAAGATGGGGCAACAGTAGTAAATCTGTCTTTGTTCTTTCCCCCTACTTTTGGTATTATCAAACCACAATTTTGGACTATATATATTCCTTCAAACTGAAGCTACGATTGTCTCTCTTTTGAAATAGCTAGATACATATAACTACTTGTAATTATTTTCCTTGGTTCATTAGCTGAGGTGCGACCCAAGTTATGTTGACCAGAGTCCAACTGGTGTTTGTGTAACTTCTCACAGCTAATTCTAGCTAATTTATGAGGTGCCCAGATCAGAGTCAGTCACATGCCTGGTCATATGGCCTATTGCACAAATGAGATTTGCTTTGGCAACTTGTGTTCGCCACAGTGTCTTACAGGGATCTTACATGAACACCAGTAGGATACCAGCCAGCCTGGTTGTGACCGAGCAAAGGTTAATGTTGTAGTTAAATTATATTTTTTACTTTTAACAGTTACATGGGTGTGGGTTCACTAAATGGCAGGTTCATGCTGCTGCCTCAAACTCTGCTATGAGCATTGAGGGAAGGGAGGAGAGTGTTTTTTTTCCAGAAGCTAGCAGCTTGTAATTTTCAGATATGTTTTTCTTATAAGAAAATTTTAAAATAACTTTTAATTTAAGTTGATAAACAGAAGAGTATCACTTGCTAGAAGTGTAGTGATGTTGGTATGTTGTGGGGGTTTTTTGGACCTTGGAAATACAAATAATATAAATATAATAATATAAATGTAACTAATTCCTTTTTTAAAAGTAGCCCTTCAAGCTCTGGATCATCTCACATCAATTTTAGCAAAGAGGGCTCCTGTATTTATGTGCCATAGCTTTTAAGAAAACGCCTGGCCTTGGGCATTAAGAGAAATGCAAAAACTGACCTCTTTGCAAGATAAGCAAAATCTGTGGCTTTTCTTAACAGAAAACACACAGATGATACCATATTTACTAGATTGTGGCAGCATTACTTTTGAAGTAAATGTGCAGATAGAATAGGAAGCTGTTTTGTGTAGGGCCATGAATACCATCTGGCCACTAAGTGTCACTGTTCCACAGGAACACCTCTTAGGAGCGGGCAGCAGAAAACTGATTGGTTCTTAATGTGATATAGTGCAAGCATTTTGAACAAGAAAGCTTAAGAAAGCATATGACTGCTACATGTAGTGCTCCTTTCTTTTTGTATATACAACATTGCCTTAACGGCTGCTGGAAGATGAGGACAGAACAATCTTTTCCTTATTTTTTCCCCCTCCACTGTTTTACTATTGGAAAAGACTCAGATTTTTTTAAAAAAAAACCTGACATTATTGCTATCCTTCAAAGAAGCAATTCACTGTCCTTCCCCCCCCCCATTATGAGTTTTTAGATTTTTCTTTTAAAAATTTATTTCAGAACAGTCCATGATCTATAGTTTTGATTCCATAGTCAGTAGATGAATTTCATGATGGGTTTCTGGAGGGTTGTTGACCACATGGTTGCTGGGAAACCAAATGCATGTTGGAAACTCTCCAAAAACAAGGAAGTGATATTAACTCCGTTCAGGCCTCGGCAGGGTAATAAAACATGTGAAATGAGTATGCGAGTCTTCAGCCACATGATGCACTGAAAGGATGTTTAGATTTCATATATTACATGAATAAAGAGAAAATGTGTCATAAGAATTACTAACACACGTTTACATATACAGTATTGGCATTGCAGCTCACGTCTTGCTAATGCATACAATACATATACTGTAGTCTAATACGTTATACATGCCAAACCATATGTAAAATGTCCCTAAGAATCAATTCTTGTTAAACAGATAACCTTTTATTTTATTGTGTTTCAGCCTGGAAGAGTAGGTCATTATACCATTATAGTAATCATTTTGCTCTATGCCGGGACTGGAGATGTAAAATTTCCCAAAAAATCAGTTTTTCCAGGGAAAAAACCACAATTTTTCCTGGTTTTTCACCCAGAAAATTGAAATTTTCAGAAATTTTACATCTATAGCCAGGACTGATGAAGTGAAGGCATGGGGTACATGTGCACCCCTCAGCCTGCTAGGGCCCCTCACAACCCTCCAGAATTTAAAGAAAACATTTTCAGATTAACTCTCCCCCCACCCCGTATCCCTTAAGAGGGGCTGGAGGCAATCTTATCATGTTTGTGGAAGGCAACACTCATGCCCCCCAAACTGCATTTTGTAGAAAAAAATTAGAGGGCATGAATGGGTTTTTCCTGTTTTTAAAGTCTTTTTTAAAAGAAAAATACTTGGGGGTTTGACACAGAATTATGTGAAGCTTTCCAAAGTCCATAGATAGCATGTATGACCCTCAGACCTCAAGATATTGCCCATCATTGCTCTGGGGGCCTTTTCTAAAACAACATATGCTCAGTGT